CTGTATGTAATTCCCTCTTCAGTGAAATCAAAATTATATTTTCAGAAGACGAGGCTGAAAGGCAACACTGCATTCCCACTAAGAAAAATAATTAACTTGTATTCACAAAGCAAAATGAAAAGTTTCCCTCAAATATTGATTTATGAATTATGATGTGGAGAGTCTGAGAAACCTAATGTAGGCGACTTCCATTCTCTGACTGAGCATGTGTATTAAAAGTAGTGATGGTTTCCTGTTGGTTAGCAAGCACGCTGGTTAGCAAGTTGATGGCCTGTTGGTTAGCAAGCCATCCCTGTGGCTCCTGGGGGTGTAGGGCTGGGTGGGAGTGCCCCACGGACCAGCAGGAGGAGGGCGGGACAGGGCAGCGCCTGCCCCAGCTGGCTGGCGGGCCGGAGAGCACAGCCACCTCCGGACACCTCAGCGCAGACGCCCCTTCCCACCGGGCGTGGACAAGGAAAACTGGTACTCAGGTGTGCACCACCCCTTTGGGGCAACTCCGCTGCCACCCGGCATTTTCAGGATAATAGTGTTTTGTTAATGAAAAAAATTCCTTAACTTCCCTCTAGTGGCAAAGATACGTGATTTGATTGTGTGACTGTTTGGTATGGACACTCCTCATCCTGAGAAACGATTTGCATCCAGTTGAAATTACGGTATACATTTCCTCAGCTGGCCTCTTTCTAATTCAACTACTTTGTGATTCATTTTTACAAAGTTTCCCTGCCATCCTTCTCCCTTGGCATTTAATCTGTTTCAAATTTAAGTTTACGAGGACTACAAGAGCTTTGATGTTTCCATATTTATTAAGTGAAGATCAAAGGTCTTCTTTGCTTTTTTTTTTTAGTTTTTACACATCTGCAAGGGACACCGTTACATTTCAGATGACAGTTTTTCTTTCCACCAAAGAATTTAGCATGAGAATGCCTTCAAGCATTTGTTTTTCTCTAAGCTCTCGAAACGTTCTCCGATTGTAAGCATACTGCCATCACACACGGAATTTCATTCAGGGTTATGTTTCAAGAACATCAGGAATTCAACACACTATTCTTTATTGCCACCAGATACGGCTTTGTTCCTGTTCTTCCCACAAAGCCCTTTTTCTAGTAAGACTGGCTTTAGGGCTCATAAAAGGGTGTACAGTCAAAGGTTGTTATCGTCCTAAATAGACCCTGTAGAGAAGAGGGCCTTTTGTTGTTTCTGTCTGGCCAAGGATCATCAACATATTTATTTAAAAGATGGATCACGGATGGAGACAGATATAAAGCGGGCAGAAGACTCCTGTCCCAATATATAAAGAACTAAGCATCAGTAAGAAAAGGACAAAGAATCCAATAGAAAAGGGGGCAAACTACGCCAACAGGCGACTGCAGAGCAGGGAGCTCAGACGATCAATAAACGTGAAAGGCGCTCCAGCCACCAGTCAGCAGACAAACACAAAGTGGCAGAATACTGTCTCACACAGATCATCATGCCAAAAACCACAAAGTTTAGTTGGTGGGAACGGAATTGGTGGAGTCATCATGGAGAACAATATGGAGGCCTCTTAAAAAAACTAAAAATAGAACTACCAGATCATCTGACGATCTCATTCGCAGGCATATATTCAGACAAAATGATCATTCGAAAAGATACAGGCATCCAGCACAGATAAAAGATACACAGCAACACTGGGCACACAGCCAGGGTGGAGAAGCAACCTAAATGTCCATCGGCAGAGGAAGGGATGAAGGAGATGCACTACATACACACGATGGAGTGTCAGTCACAGAAAAGAATGAAATGATGTCGTTTGCAGCAACAGAGATGCGGCCAGAGGTGAGCAAACCAAGTGAAGCACATCAGAAACAGGAAGACAAATGTATCATCTATCACCTCTAAGCAGAATATAAAAAATACAACAAACTAGTGAACAGAACAGGGAAACAGACTCACAGATACAGAGGACAAACTAGTGGTTACCAGTGGAGAGAGAAGCAGGTGGGGGCAATACAGACGAGGGGAACAAAAGAAGGGTTATAATGGGATTATATGAAATCGTTGTGTGACACTTGGGAAAATTTTAAAGTACTATAAATGTAAAGAATCNATACAACAAACTAGTGAACAGAACAGGGAAACAGACTCACAGATACAGAGGACAAACTAGTGGTTACCAGTGGAGAGAGAAGCAGGTGGGGGCAATACAGACGAGGGGAACAAAAGAAGGGTTATAATGGGATTATATGAAATCATTGTGTGACACTTGGGAAAATTTTAAAGTACTATAAATGTAAAGAATCTTTCATTCAATAAAAACAGTAAATTAAAAAAACTCTTAAAAAATATTCAGAAAAAAAAATTCCAGGAAATTCCACAAAAACAAAGCTTGAATTTGCCTCATACCAGAAATTATTTACATAGCATTTTTATATTATATTAGGTGTTACAAGCAATCTAGAGATGGTTTAAAGTATATAGGAGGATGCATGTAGGTTGTATACAGATACCATGGCATTTTATATAAGGGAACTGAGGATTATCCTTGGGTTTTGGGATCTGTAGACAGTCCTAGACCAAACCCCTGTGGATACTGAGGGATGACTGTAAACACAGAACATTTAAAGGAGAAACCAAACTGGCTAATGAACAATTGGAATCTCATAGTAATCAAGGAAATGGAAGTTAAAACTAGGTATTTTTCACCCATCAAATTGGCAAAAAGAGCAACACCGTTTTAATTAACTGGCCTTTGTGCTGCAGTAAACAGATCACAGACTGGGGGCTTCACGGCAAACACCCATCTCTCACAGTGCTGGAAGCTCTGAGATCGGGCTGAGTTCCTGCTGGAGGCCCTCCCCTCTTCCTGTTTTCCAGATAGCTTCTTTCGAGGTTCTCTCCTCTCTTCTCCGAAGGGCAAGAAACCCATTCATGAAGGTCCCACCTTTATTACCTAATTCTCTCCCAAAGGCCTCACCTCCTAACACCATCACACTTGGGGGTTAGGATTTCGATGCATGAATTCGGGGGAGAGTAGGAAAGGTTAAAGCGTCTGCCTGCAATGCGGGAGGCCTGGGTTCGATCCCAGGGTCGGGAAGATCCCCTGGAGAAGGAAATGGCAATCCACTCCAGTATTCTTGCCTGGAGAATCCCACGGACGGAGGAGCCTGGTGGGCTACAGTCCATGGGGTCGCAAAGGGTCGGACATGACTAAGCGACTTCACTTTCTTTCTTTCACTTTACACAAACATTCAGTCCATGACAGCAACATCATGCTCTATAAACACACATTTTTAAAAAGCCACTCACTAGATCTGGCTTCTGTGCATTAGGAATTCAGTAGTGGTTCAGCTGGGCAGGTCCAACTGTGTGACTCCTCACGAGGTATCCCTGAAGTCTGAATGGGGCTAGAGGGAGTCCTTGGCTCCTCTCCACACCTGCTCGAGAGGCCTTCTGGCATAGCAATGATCTTCCTCCAGAACAAGCAGTCCAAGGGGTTTCCCTGGCAGCTCAGGCGGTAAAGAACCTGCCTGTAAATGGGGAGACTGGGGTTCAATCCCTGGGTCGGGAGATCCCCTGGAGGAGATGGCAACCCACTCCGGTATACTTGCCTGGAGAATCCCATGGACACAAGAGCCTGGCAGGCTACAGTCCACAGGGTCCCAAACAGTCAGACACAACTGAGCAACTAACACACCACCACCACCACGGGCAATACTTTTCTGGGCCATTTCCTGTGAGCTGTCTTACACTGAAACGCCCATCAGGTGCAAGAAGTTAACTACAGGATGACCAGACTGTAGCCATGACGTGGTTCAGCCGCTCAGTCGTGTCTGACTCTGCGATCCCACAGACTGCAGCACGCCAGGCTTTAGTCCATGACATAAGCTGTCACAGTTTTGAGAACCGGTCTCAGTGAAATGGGAACAAATCAACCCAGGAAGTGAAAACCAACTGTACCTTAAACGACCAAGACAATGCTGGTCAGACCCACCAATGACCAATTTCCTGTTTTCCTCCTGCCTTCAATCTTTCCCAGCATCAGGGTCTTTTCCAAGGAGTCAGTACTTCGCATCAGGTGGCCAAAGTATTGGAGTTTCAGCTTCAGCACCAGTACTTCCAGTGAATATTCAGGACTGATCTCCTTTAGGATGGACCAGTTGGATCTCCTTGCAGTCCAAGGGACTCTCAAAGAGTCTCCTCCAACACAACAGTTCAAAAGCATCAATTCTTCGGCACTCAGCTTTCTTTATGGTCCAACTCTCACATCCACACATGCCTAATAGAAAAACCACAGCTTTGATGAGATGGACCTTTGCTGGCAAAGTGATGTCTCTGCTTTTTAATGTATTGTCTAGGTTTGTCATAGCTTTTCTTTCAAGGAGCAAGCATCTTTATGAGACTGCTTGTCCCGCTCGTTTTTCTCACGAGGAGTGCTGGTCCATTTACCACCCAAATGTTTACTGTGCTGAAACCAGACACTTCACAAGATAGGTGGGAGTCAAGTCTCCCCAATTTTACCTATTTGGCCACTCCATGATCTGTGATTAACTTCAGAGTTTGAGAGTTCCAGAAAAATTTCTAATATTCAAGACATATTCATAAATTTAGAGGTACAAGCTACTTTTCTTTTAAATGTAAGGTTTTAGCAAGAAAGTGATCCTGGACAGAGTTTGACTACAATTAAAAACAAAATATAATACCATTGTTTCAGAATTTTGGGAGGTATTTTATAATGCTTGTAAACACGTTACTGGACTACACAGGGTGAGAAAGTCTGAGAACGTACTTCTCTGGCCGGGAGAGCTGGGCAATCCCTCTGCAGACCGTCCACACAGGCCTCTGGGGGCTGGGGCTGCAGCGGTCATCTTTCTCACCACCCTCACATGGCGCCCCCACAAGGCTCTTGCACACAAACACTTCACACATGTTCACTAAGTTTAACTGGAGAAGTTACACCCAACACAGCAAGAAAACTCTTGATACATTGTATGGATACTGAATAATATAGTTACATTGTTTCAAAGTCAAGAAAAAACGTTTTATTCAATGAGGTAGATAAAAATACTCAAAAATAAACTCAACAGTAAAGCATTCTCAGAAGTGTCCACATACCATGGATTTATAATGTATTGAATTTATGCAATGTTGTTTTCATAATTCTTGGCTATTCAAGTGGTTTTCAATGTTTAGCATACTTAAGATTTTTATTTGGCCAAAGTAACCACTAAAAAGATGTAACGCAAAATAATTTATTTCTTAAATGCCTACATATTTACAATCATAAAAATTTTCATGCATTATAACATGAGATACATGTTCACATTTATTAAAAATTTAAAATCTTATGAAATCTATTTTAGCTACTTATGGAAAAATTAAAGGCTGATCAGAAACTGTCAAATTAGTATTATTAGCTGAAGATTTCACCATAATCCTTAACAGTATTTAGTCATGAATACCTTCACTTTACTTTTAAAGCCACAATTACAATTTTTAAGTTAAATTCTCATAGTGGGGCAGTAAGATTTCACTCCAAATCAGAGTCACATATGGAAAGGAGCTTTTAATTCGAGGTTTCATTGTGGTCCATGGTATATATTTTCATGAGGGTTACATGATGGAGAGCCAACAGGGAAACGTGCTACCAGAGGAGAGCAGACTGCCAACTAAGCATGCACGGCACCAGCAGACTGCTTTGGAACAAGCTATGTCCTTGATCATTGCCAGCTTCTCTGTAACGCTCAGGTTCTCAAAGGTCACTGAATTTTATAATTATCTCCAAACAATTTTCTTCATGGTCGTTTAAGCTTTGTCTAAACAGCTGGGTGTGTTGCCAAGCAACAACACCATCTCCTCTGCTTAATTCTGCTTCCAGGATAACTTCAGTGGCCCCAGAAAAATCATGATAGGAGCGAAGAGTTTTATCTATTGGAGGAAAAAAAAGTTAATTTCACTTTGCTTTTGATAAGAACACAGAGAATGCATTTTATATAACTACCTTATAGGTAAAAATCAACTCTTAAAAAAATAAATACAAATTATTCTTTATGGAGGAAATGTGTCCTCTGAAAAAGAAATGATTTTTCTCCTTCCATTTGTGCTTCACAATAAGAAACATAAGCCCTTTTATTATATGAGGTTAAACTACAGGTTTTAACTGAAACTTTTTTTTTACTGTAATAGTATGAATGACTCCAGGGTAAGAAAAGCCCTTAACTGCATTTCAAATAAGTGCAGCTACTCCCCAGAGCATCAAGCACACCCTTCGTGATCAGTTCCCCAGGCAGACGCTTACCGCCTGTCAGCGCTACTTGCGCAGCATCAGAGCTCAGCTTCCACTGTACTGCTCCAGTCTCAAAGGTCTGACTACTTGTCCGAACGGAAATACTGTCTACTTTTAGGCCAACTGACCCACATTCAAACTTCCAGGAAATGTAAGCATAAGATGATCCTTCCTTGCGGGCTAAATACACCTGTAAAGAGGGAGGGAAAAAAGGGGCTGTCAGAAATAATCAACCAGTGTAAGAGCACAGATCGTCAAGAGTCTATCACATGTGCTATAAAAAACTGGTTATTAAAAGTCTCATTTTTCCCCACTGCAAAGATTTTTACTGCTAACAATTTTTCATGTTACTAGCATCTCTTGCTAGGGATAGAAGATACTATTTGAATGATAGGTGCATCAATTAGTACAGCCCTAAGGTTGCCCGCTAACCAAATTTTGGTGAATTATATTCTCTTTTAAGTTATCAAGTCCAGCTGTTTAAAATGAACTTTATGATGAATCTGGATGAAAATGAAGAGTCCTCTTAAATGCAATTATTCCTTAATTTATCTTCTTTTCTAAGCCTGAGTTTTCGGATAAGCTTTCCTAGAATGAGATGGGCCACACCCTATAAACCAAGAAATACCTCAGTCACTGCTAAAGTAATGGTCTGGTTAAAAATGTCATGTCCATGCTCCTCTCGTGCCTCTCTGAACAGGACACTCCCCGGGCCTCCACCATCAGCGCCCTGACCAACATCCCAGTGGAGGCATCCAGGCTCACCGAAGCCTCCAGTCTATCTGCTCTCACAGGTTCATCTACACACTGCAAATGTTGGTACGAAAACGGATGTCCACTCACCCCGGCTCAACCCCCTGAGAATCTCTTTCATCATTTATGCCCAGTGTCCAAATTCCCCAAAAAATCTGGACATTATAAGTCTTGGAGGAAAAAAACCCACAAAAACCTCTTTAATTATATGGCACTTGTCAATATGGTCATGACTTTATTCTCATTTTTCTGCAACTGCCTAATTAACGCTTTTAAAATGCCACTTCCTTCATATCACTTGCCTGGTCTAGAACTCACAGCAAGTGCCTGCCTCTCACATTATAGCCAAACTCTTGGCTTTCATGGTCCTCCAGAATTTCATTCCGCCTTGAACTGCCAATACTCTGTGACCCAAGTATAACTATTTAATTTCAGACGTACTTGTATTATGTAACTTAACCAAATCATAAACTCTCTGGGGTATAGGTTCTGGATTTACCGAGTTTAATAAACAGTATTTATTTGGCCAGAAACCTGCACAAACACATGCACTCTTTCAGAAACATCTAATCTACTTCTCAGGGGCAAACAGCTGGAAGTACCACAAGAAACACAGCTGCCATCTAAGTCCGTACTATTCCAGTTTTCAGTCAAGTAAGAAGTCAATCACTGCCAGCACGTTATCAACATTTCATTGTATTTGGCAACCTATAGTTTTCTTCCAGGTTAAATGTGTCAGCTAGTTTGAGTTTTCAGAATCAGCGAGTTGGCGATGATAAAATCATTAAACAATCAGTCTCCAAGGAAAACCACTTAACCTCCTGAGACCAGAAATGCACACCCGCCTACCGCTGTTCTGCATAGCAGACCCGGGCGTGGGCACTGCCGCCTGCCTGACTCCAGGACCTCAGCCTGCGGGTGGCCACCGCATCCCCCCCTGCAGCTGTCTGCAGGGGAACTGGCCTCAGGGCTGCACCTGTGCTCCTGGGAGCCAGACGTTCACCTCTGCTGAACGACCGGGCCCCTATGGGTTATCCATGACTTAACTACTCCTCCAAAACAGAGGTTAGTAAAGGGGGTCATCCGAAAAAAATGAGCCAAACAGAGGGGTTACTAGAAGAAAGGTGGTGGAAAGAAATGAAAAGACTGGGGGAAAGTGATCTTACTTCTGTGTGTCTTCTACGTCTTGTGTGTTTTCAGAGCTCAGTAGCTTCAAATGCCCCCCATAAAAGTGTAGGCATATGAAACAGGATAGGCTGAAGTCAGGTTAACCTCAAATTTCAAGTTGCCCCCAAGACCTGCCTTCACTGTATCAGGTGGGTCTGGGCCAGAACTGTTTTAACTGTCACAAAAGGTTTCTGATGGATACTGAACCTGTCTGAGAACTGCTTTTTCTAAGACTCACATTTTTCAGTTCTAAAGGCATCAGTTTTTAATGACTCTAAAAAGTTAAAATGGTAAGACGGAATTCATCACTGAATTCTTAAAATGCTTAAATAAACCTTTAAACACACTGTGAGCAAATAAAAGTTCTCTTAGGTTAAAGGAAGAGCACATGGAGATAAAACAGGTCCTATTTCTATTGAAAATTCATGTCATCTTTTTTGCACAATATATTCTATCTGTAGCATTTTAGCCAACTTATTTAACTCAGCATTTTTAGAGGTGGTAGGATGTTACTATATACAGTATACTCAGTTTGGTAATTTGAAACCAAAAACAACAGGACTTATATAAACCTCCAATTGTGGTCCAGTCTATGTGTAAAACCAACAGAACTAGTAATTATAATTTATTTAGAAGAAAAAAACACTTTATAACCTCTTAGTCAACTATTTGCTCTAAAGGGGGAAAAAAAGCACTTTTGTAACTGCTGCCTGTTGCAGACTCCTGTCTGTGTGCTGGCCTTTTAAACTCACAGGTGAGGCCCTTGGCCCCGCTCCGGCACCTGTGAGGACAGAGGCACACGGCCACCTGTGAAGAGGGGCGAGATCGACGGCGTGGGGTCAAGCCGTGCTGCTCACGAGGCGCCCTGATGGAACCAGTCCTGCGGGCTGTGGCCGTGACCACTGCTTTCAAGACCGAGAGCAACGTGCACGCCAGCTTCCTCCCGCCATCTCCTGTTCTTGTGAAGACCTTCACACAATGATTTTCTGATGACTACACGCCAGGCTGGTCAGCCCGCTGCTCCGGCTTCCTGGAGGTCTGGTGTGTACTCTCTCGTCGGGAGTGGTTCTCTAGCATGCTCTTAAAAATCAGCATTCTGCTGAGGCTGCTGAATGAGCTCTAATTGAGTTCACCGTGCAGTCAGTCATGCCTGCATCTCCAGCAGGGCAGCTGTATTTCAAGTCTTCCTCCAATGCTAGTACATTGCCCTTGCTCAGCAATCTTAATCCTGGTTATTCCGTTTTCTCGCTGAGGTCCGTCATGAACACTGTCTAGTCCACACTTCCCGTGCTTCCACTCGCAGCCTCTGGATGGCCAGTGTGACGATGGGCTTCCCTCGCCTGAACGCCTGCGTGGTTTCCTGTTGCATGACTGCAAGGCCACCCAAGCCCCTGGGGCCTGACCCGCTCACCCCTGCAGCCTCACTTCCCCACGTTCCCGACACCTCCCTCTTCTCTGAACCTGCTAGCTGTCTCTCAGCTTGGCGCGGGCACTGCACACAGCGTTTCTCACGCCGCACTCTCAGAGGCTCCTCAGCCGCCGCCTCCAAGGCCGGCGCAGACCCCCCTTCCCCTGCCAGGCCCTCCGGGACCCGGCGGCTCCGCCGTCTCACACAGTGCTTCCCTCACTCGTCTCGGCAGCCGCTTCCCGTGTCTTCCTCTGGCACGAACAGACCCTCGCTGCAGGTCTGCCTCGAAATTCACCACTAATCCTAAATGCTGAGCAGTGTCCGATTCTGAATGACTGCATCAATTCCTGGCATGATGTCCTGCATCAAAAAGTGCTAACATGACTCTAGTGGCAAAGAGAATAAAACTGTTCAAAGACACAGAGCATCTAAGAACACTTAAAAAGTGCCCTTAAAAAGTGAACTCTTCAGTAAACTCTAGCTTTTTATGTTCCTTTCAAATCCAGACATCGCTGAATGGTATACTTGTAAGCAGTAAAATTCAGCGAGTCTCTGTGCTCCCGGGAGAGGGTAAGGTCTTTTCTCAACACCCACAGACGGGCTGCCGTGCCCTGCCGCGGCCCCACGAGGAGACTGCGAGGGAGGGTGTGGGGGAAATGGGTCCTGCGTCTGGTGCAGTCAGAGAGTCCCCAACGGGGAACCTAGGACAGAGCGAAAACACGGGTGCAGGTGGAAAACCCACGCTTTCAATGGCAACGTATTCCTTCTGAGTTACGTTTCTACAAGTACAGTTACAATTCTAGCATTTTTCATTTAGAACTGGAAATGTATTCATTCAGCTGTAAAAAATAAAAAAAAAAACAGGGCCCCCTGTAAAAGTATATGAAGGCATACACTTAAGCCGGTGTGTCTGCCTGTATGGCCTTCACATCTCATTTACCTTACTCAGAAGCTTTCTCACACAACACACCCGCCCGAGGTGTGAGATCGACTCAGAGGTCTAGAAGCGCCTGCCACTCCTGTCTAACCACACCTCTCCTTTCAGCGCTGGGCTCCACTGAGCGCTCTGCCCGGCTCCCACAACCAGGGCGTGTCTCCCTCCGGGAGTTTCCATGCCAGTATGCTCATGTCCATGCGGGCACAGCGGGCCCTTGGCCCTCACGTGCAGGTGGACGACTGCAGGTCAGGACCAAGAGCCTGCCGCAGACCACCTCTGCTCCCCGCACGGTGGTTCCTCCGGACGCTGGGCTAGCAGCGGGAGCCAGCAGACAAGCCCTTGGTAAGAGCCACGTCTGCCCCTTCCTGCTTTCTGTTCAGAGCAATCCCGCAACTGAGGAGCATCTTCTAGAAGTCCATCCTTGCTCATCAACTAGACAATTACAGATACAAACGTCTGGAAACTTTACATCTTATTTTATCTCTCATGTCCTTCTCTAACTAAAGAAGTAAATTCCTACATCTATAATCTCAATAAGCCTATAAATCATTTTTAGCTTATTACAAAAAGATGGTCCAAATGCACACCAAGACAAGTTTAGGAGACAAACTTGTGGGGAAGAAGAGAAGGAAGCAGGGACCTTATTGGTGTGCGCCCTGTGCATGCTGAGGAACGCCTAGCCTTCAAGGATTAGCACGGTGCAGATGCTCACCAACACCAGCGGCTGCTCACCCGTGACTCTCCCGCTACATCCACTCAAGCGTCTCACAAGTGAACACCTTCGCACCCCTCACTTGGCAAGTTAAAGAGGCCCATAAGCTCATTAATGCCCATGAAATCTGTCAGTGACAGGGTCGGATCTAGTGAGGGCATGTGAGTAGCTCTGCACTTATTTTTGGTGAGTTTTTCTAAGGGAGGGGGCAGTTTAAAAGCAAAGCCTCTTACTTATTACAGATAACGTATGACAGCAATGTACAAGCTGGTACAGTGAACTACCACGTTCCCAGCATCCATTTCTTCCATTATTTTAGAGGAAACAGAGAAGAAATAAACCAATCTTGCTGCTCAACCAGCCACAATCCGTTGAGATGGAAGCATGTCCAATGGTTAGCTCTTGGGACTCTGAACTAAATGTTATGGTATCTAGTAGCTTGCTTTTTTAGCAGGCAATCAATACATATCCACAAAGGAAATGGGTAATAATATACTCCATATATTCATGCAAAAACTAGTTACATGAGTTGCTCATACACTTGATTTTTTTTCCATGAAAGAATTAAATTCAGCCTCTGATGAAAACGGGTACATTCTTGATACAAACACACAAATTTCCAATGGACTTTTCATTAAACACTGGGAGCAGGATCTTCTTTTACAAGTTTAAGGATAACTAAGTGTTGTTCTCATATCAGTTTGTACATTAAGACCAGGTGAAAAATGAAGCCAATCTCTATTTGTTTAAAGAATGACTAAGATTTTAAAGCATTACGTTACCATGTTCCAGTCTGTTTCAACTTTTCTGAATATGGATTCCATTCTCCACACACCATTCTCCCATCCAGAAATGGTTTGGTTATTACTTGAAACTCGGACATAATAATTTTTTACAATATTATAGCAAAGGTGCAGCTGTTTAGAAATCTTCTCATTTTCAGAGGGGATGAACAGGGTTTCTTTACTCTTGGAAAAAAAAGAAGAATTAGTTTTCCAACATCATAGAAGACAGGTGCACAAAGAGGTACCGCAGTGGAGAGGGGTTAAGCGACCCCTGCAACGGGGAAGTGTAGTGGCGCTGTCGGGAAATTTGGAAACTCTTACAGGTTAAACATCATCAGTGTGGTGCTGACACAGCAGTAGACATTACTGAGCAGAAAACAAGAAGCATAAACTGCAGCTGACAGCTGTGACTTACACTTTGGGGACTGTGCGTCAACATGAATTCACTCCCACCACCGTCACCACCTTTTAACTGGACACAGCAGTCATCTCCTATAGCTGAGTCCTAGCTTTCAACTCAACCTCTCCACACAGATCAAGGTGACTGTTAAGGACGTAAATTGGGACACATCACTTACTTGCCAAACTCGCTGCACTGACCTCCTGCTAGAGACCCTAAGCCCCTACAAAGGTGGCTTTGTAGGGCCACACACGGCTTGATCTCTGTGACCTCTCCTACCAGACCCCAGGCTCCTCTTCCCTGCTGCCTCCACACCCCCCACCATTTCCTCCTTCTTTAGCTCCTTACAAAGCCAGCTCCTTTCTGCCTCAGAGCCCTGACACGCGCATCTGGAAGGCTGTGCTTGCTGCTCTCCAGCTACCTGACTCCTTCTCCCGCTCCAGGCCACAGCCGAAAGTCATTTCATCAGTGTCCTTTCCTGATGCTAGAAGTGAGGACAGGATAGCTGGAAATGACTGTCTGCGTGGGTGAAATTACTACAAAATCTCATGTTTTACCTTAAAACTGCAAGCAATTTTGCATTCTCTTACAAAATAAATTGTTTCTTTTAATGTAAAATAGTCCCCTAAATCCCTGAAGTCACTGAGTGCATTTACAGTTTGAGAAAGATGCTGCATTTACCCTGCATCTGTATGGCACCGACACCATGTCCCCTCTCCCTTACACATGAGCACAGGCGCCTGCGGGTCAGGTCAGTCTTTCTCGGGGGTGGGGGTGGGGAGGTGCCCTGTGCACTGCAGCCTGTGTGGCGGCCTCTCTGGTCTCACCCTCAAGAGGCCAGTGGGACCACCCATCCCAGTTCTAACACCGGAAATGTCCCCAGACACCGCCAAATGTCTCCTGGAAGGCAACATCACCCGCTGCTGAGAACCACTGCTATAGTCTGTATCAATGTCTTGCTTTAACGAATCATTTACTAATCAATTATGATAGTAGTTAATGCTTTTTGGTTAAACACTGGGTACCAGGTATTAACCAATGTGAAAACTTCAAATGTACAAGAATTAGCAAGTAGAATATAAAATATCTTAGAAACAGAAAGTATTTACAAATGTATAAATAAGAAGATAATTCCCTAGAACCTGTAATTATTATTGCCACAAGGATAAGGTAAAAAAAATCAGTTTATTATTTTTAGAAGGTGATTTTCTAAATATGAATTAGTATATTAGCAGGTAACAATACTTTCCCATTCTTCTCTTCTTTATCAAAGACATTTCACTATCAAAGATATTTCAGAGTACTGCCATAAACCAGAGGGAACTAAAATTTTTAAGTATCATTATCTACTATCTTACCAAAGGATAATTAATTACAAAGGGAAAAGAAAAATATGTATGTTACTGAATATATCATTTATAACATTAATATTTCATAAATGCTTTAAAATTTAAGGTTAAGACAAAACTCTTTCTGAAAACATCACTAATGTTTCCTTCTTTGTCCAGCTGATTTCAAGATATATAGTTCCCTAATTTTTAGGACTGACTTTTAAAATAAACATCTATTTCAAAAGAGAAAAATGACTTTTAAAATTCACAGCTCTAAAACGATCTCCATAATTGAGAAATTTAAAAATTTTTCAAAAGAGAAAACAATCTGGGCATATAGCCCAATTCCTATTTTTAAAGTTTAATTAACTTATATGCCATGCAAGAGGAAGCACACTCATCCATGAAAAGGAAAAGAAATGAAGACCTAAATACCCATATTTTAAACTGAACACAGCTGTGAATGACACTGGCTCTGTTCAAACTGGCTTCATTTAGATTTCTACTTGTAATGTGCACTGCATCAGGAGGGACTGGAGTTATCTGTTGAATTCAGATCGTTATTCTATGGCTGAACCACCACTTCTAACTGCCTGCTAAATATGATGAGACAAATTTAAAAGTAAACAATGTTGACTAGGGATAATTCACCACTCTTCCTTTATTAGAGAAATGAGGTGTAATAATGGCAAATTTGGAAAAAGTAGATATAAAACTTTGTTTGGTTATTTTCCTTTCAAGCATTTTTCATGACTTATCTTCTTAGGCGTTTATAATAAATGCTTTCTAGTGAGTCAACTTTAAGCTCCCTAAGGGCAAAGAACTTTCTTAATGTCCATTAGAGAGCACAATGCCTTCAGCAAGCCTCTAACTCTAGAAATTATATTCCCATTGTTCATCACTTAATTTTGAGAGATTAACTGATAATATTTTCAGAAAGTCTGACTATGTAATAGTACTCACACCAACAACAATTTCTAGCCAAAACTAGACGTGGTCAAGAATGTAATAAGAAATGAACACTTTCACTAGTGGAATGGCCCAGATTTCTATTATGTTCCCCACTATACTTAAAAAAGTTTTCACAGCACTGAACAGGACTTCACAAAAGATGATATCTGAAAGTTTAAAGACAGACATTCAATGTCATTATCCAGCATCAAAATGCAATTTTTAAAACGGGGGAAAAAATATATATGTAAAACTGAATCACTCTGTTGTAAACCTGAAACTAACACAACACTGTAAATCAACTGAACTTGGATAAAAAATAATTTATAAAAATCAAATGTCAGGGCTTCCCTTGTGGTCCAGTGGTTAGAACCCACCTTGCAATGCAGGGGACACTGGCTCCCTCCTGGGTCCAGGAAGACCCCACACACTGCGGGACAGTATGCCCGCGCGCCCCAGCACCGGGGCCCCGCAGCGAGAGAAGCCTGTACAGCGAGGAGGCCGCTCAGCACAGCCCGAGAGAGCCCAGGCACAGCCACGAGCTCGGAGCACGGAAGCCTGCGGGCCCCAGCGCCGGGGCCCCGCAGCGAGAAGCCTGCACACCACAGCCACAGAGCAGCCCCCGCTCGGCACAGCGATGAGGAGCACAGGCAGAAACAGGGAACATTAAAGAACAGAAAGCCACCACAATTTCCAGAGAAAATTAATTTCTACGGAAAAAAATCACAGTATAATACTATATACCACTACAAATGCTAGCATGAAAAAGACTGGGAACCACAGGTAAAGACATGGAAAAATCTCACTTATTGCTGGGCAGTGTGAAGCGGTTTGGAAGCAGCCAGTCCTCACACTCTGACCCGGCTCTTCTGCCGCAGGTGTGCACCCACCTGAGCATGCACAACACTCACTGAAGACACGTCTGCATGTGTTCACAGCAGCAACACTTAAAGCTGAAGGGCGGCTGACTGACAACACTGGGTTGATTTCAGCTGTATGGCAGAGTGGTTCAGTTATACACATACAGGACTTCCCAAGTGGCTCAGTGGGTAAACAACCTGTCTACGATGCAGGAGACACAGAAGATGTGGGTTGATCCCCAGGTGGGGAACACCCCCTGGAAGAGGGCATGGCGGCCCACTGCAGCGTTCTGCCTGGGAAATCCCATGGACAGAGGAGCCTGGTGGACTCCAGTCCCTGGGTCACAGTCAGCCATGACTGAAGCCACTGAGCCCAGCACATACACAAACACAAGCAGTGCCTGTTCCCAGAGGATCTCCCCTGTAGATTATCCCGGGACACTGCGCTCTGTGCTGCGTGCTTGTTTTATAATGGGCAGTGTGCGCCTCCCAGCCTCCTAACTCACCCCCCGCCCCTCTCCCCTCTGAGCACTCAAAGGGTGGTTTTCTGCGTCTGCAAAGCATGCTTCTATTTTGTAAACAGATTCATTTGTACTATTTTTCAGATACCACATATAAGTGATATCATATAATATCTGTCTTTGACTTCCTTAGTATGACAGTCTGTACATCCATCCATTGTTGCTACAAATGGCACTATTTCATTATTTTTTAATGGCTGAATACTATTCCATTGTATAACAACACAACTTATTTATCCATTCATCTGTTGATGGACACTTACGCTGCTTCCATATCTTGGGTATTATTGTCGACAGCAAAGTAGCACAATTTTAGACCAAAATTGAGAAACAACCTAAATACCCTATAGTGATGTGGATAAATTACAGAATATCCACACAGTGGAATATTATACAGCAATGACAATAAATGTATTATAAATATACAGCAACAACTATGAATCTCACTAAATAATAAGAGAAAGAAACTGTCCACAAAAGAGTGCATCCTGTATGATTCCATTTACATAAAGCAGAATAATAGGCAAAACTAGTCCATGATATTAGATACCAGGATAACGGTCACACTTAAGAGGTGAAAGGTGGTGACTGGTCGTCTATTTCTCATTCTGGTTAGTGGTTATGTGTTTAACACTTTGTGATAATCTGTTAAGCTGTGCACTTATAATTCATGTATTTTCATGTACTTCAGTAAAAGTTATAACTGCACTAGAAATGTACATAAAGTAACAATAAAAAGTCCCATTTTAATTGCTTTGCTAACTTCTGTGTGCAATTATACTATGTCAATCCACTATTGGCTCTCTTCAATGTTTACATTTTGTAACAATTACTCTGAGAAGTTCATTGAAAGGTAGTGGTCAGTGGGTTTGCTGCATGAAAAGTGCATAGGACAGGAAGTGGGAAAGTGAGGTTGTCATCGGGTTGCAATGAAGCAAATACCTCTGGACCCGCTTCACCTCGGGCGACTCTCCAGGCCAAGGACCCAGATGTCCTTCCTCCAAGTTCTCCCGGCTTAGGGTTTTTGGGAGATATAAATTCAACAAGTTCCACAATGATCCTCTGAAGAAGTTCTTTCCTTCTGTTTTCTGACAAAGATACTTGCCTCTGTAATTCAGGTTTAAAAACAAAAAAGTCACTAAAGATAAAGAGAATGCAGGGGTCCATCTGTAAGCATGACTATAATTAACACATTTGTATTTTAACAATGTCCAACTAACCAACTTTATTTTCATACATACAATTACGTGGAAAATAAAAACGACACTGTGGAAAGTTAAGATGATTTTGTAACTTTCATGCTGAGAAACCATTTGGCAACCATATCCAGTTTTCCACACCCTTTGTGTATGTGTGCATGTGTGTGTGCTCAGTCACGTCTGACTCTTTGTGACCTCATAGACTGGAGCCCACCAGGATCCTCCGTCCAAGGCATTTCCTAGGCAAGAACACTAGAGCGAGTTGCCATTTCCTGTTCCAGGGCATCTTTCTGATCCAGGGACTGAACCCAGGGTCTCTTGCATCTCCTGCACTGGCAAGTGGGTTCTTTACCACTGCGCCACCTGGGAAGCCACTCCATGTCCTCTGTTGGCCCAGATTTTACACAGAGGCAGAAGGTTCTGTTTCTGAGTAAGACTAGCTGTCCTGCTGAGAAGATGAGGAAAGCGGGGACCACACACACACATTACACCTGCTTGAATGCAACAAAAAGCTACCATGGTCGCCCAAGGGAAGAAGCAAACTGAGGCGAACTGAACTCCCTGCCAGGCACCTGCCGCCTACCAAGCGGCACAGGGAGCCACGCTCCCGGCAGGCCGGGCACGGACACAGCAGCGCTGCCAGTGCTGGGAGCCGGCCCCAGAGTCCAGGCCCTCCCCCGGCTCCAGCAGATACTGCGGGGTTTCAACTGAGGCACTCAGAAAGGCTGCACACTAGGGGCATGGCAGAAGTCCAAGTAGGAGGAGACTCATCTTGGCTCTCAAGCACTGTAAGGTGATCTGCCTGTTCTAACTGCCTGCCAGATGCAAACTTAGCTGTTTTTCAAATCATGAAAAATACTAATAATACACAAATATATAGTAAAAACAATTTCAGTACACAAAAGGAGTAGAAAATCAAAGCTGAAACTTCCCTCTTGGATCCCTAGTTCTCCTCAAAAATAAGCATAGTTAACAATTTCCTGTGCCTTCTTTCAGAAATTTCTCCATGTAGATACATGTAAGGATAATTGCATGTAATAATATTCAAGTGACATTTAGAAAAATAAGGTGCTATATATATATATATTTTTTTTAAACAGGAGGATTGGTAAAGACTTTTACTTATTTGGTCACCCCTGGCAGCATGTGGGATCTCAGCTGACCAGGGAACATGGGCATTGAGGCTGTGCCCTCTGCATTAGCAGAGTCTTGAACCACTGGACCTCCAGGGACATCCAAGGCAAAATATTTTTTATGTCAAGTATTACATATATTGAATTGAATTTTTTTCCCCCCACTTTGAGATGTGACAATTTAAGGCAAAAAAAAAACCCCAAACAAACAAAACACCCACCCACAATATTTAAAATGAGTCCTCAAAATGTTTAATGAAAAAAGACATTTAACATATTTAAATATTTTTGTTTGCATACTACTTAAAGAATTGCAATGGGTTAAAAACTGGCTATTCTTGATTATATAAAAAATTTCAAATGTCCTCTCAAAAATGACAAACACCCATCACATACCTGCTTATTAAGTCCATTAATAGTTTCTCTAAGTAATTCCTCTTTAATTTCAGTTCTTCTAGAGATTACCTCTTCATGTTTACAAGAATATCGCCAAGTGACATCAACCACCTTGAATTACAAGACACAAATATTTAACAAGATTAAAACCATCAACATTAATTTGCTAAACACCTAGAATGCATGTAGTTCTTAAATAGAAATTTTTAAATGCCAATCTTTTCATTTAAATTTTTGAATCTGTAGAAAAAATCAAACATGCTTTTTACTCATATTCTAACTGGCACACATCCAAGGAAGACTGATTAGGAGATAAAAATTTCCCAACAATTAGCTATCAGAATTTATCTACAAAGCTGATCTCATAAAATTCAAAAAATAAAACTCCATTTTATTGTACTGAATATCTAAATGATAAATATATATATGAACATAATAGAACTGTTTCTTGGCAAAGGTGCAAAGATAATTCAGTAGACAAAATAATTTTTTTCAACAAATGGTGCTACAACAATTCATTATCCATATGCAAAATAATGAATTTCAATTCACACCTTGGACTATACATAAAAGTTAACCCAAAATGGATCACAGACGCAAATGTAAAACTAAAAGCATAAAACTTCCAGAAGAAAACTCAGGAGGAAATCCTTGTGGCTTGGGATAGGCAAACATCTCTTACATGTAACATCAAAAAGCAAGATCCACAAAAGGACAAATCGATGAACTGAACTTTATCGATTTCTTCTCTTCAAAAATCATTAATAGAATTAAAAAGACAAGCCAAACACAGAGAAAATCTCTGCAAAGCTCTTATTTGAAAAAGGACTTGTATTCAGAATATATGAAGAACTCTCAAAACCCAAGAATAAGAAAATGAACCACCCAATTTAAAAAAAATAATGGGTAAAGAGGAGAAATGGATGACAAACAAGTCCATAAAAAGCTGCTCAGTATTCACCCTTGAGGAAATGCAAATGAAGTCACTGCACATCTATTAAAAGGGCCACAAGAAAAAGTCAGACCATACTGCCAGCAAGAGTATGGAGAAATTGGGAATTCTCACATAGTGCTGGTGAGAATATAAAAATGGCACCATTCCTTTGGAAAATAGTTGAGCTAACTTCTTAAAAAGTTAAAGTCATGACAACCCACTCCAGTGTTCTTGCCTGGAGAATCCCATGGACAGAGGAGCCTGGCAGGCTACAGTCCATGGGGTCACAAGGAGTTGGACATGACTGAGCACCTTCACTTTCACCATGTGATTTAGTCATTCCTCTTGTAGACATTTACCAAAGAGAAAAGAAAGCTATGCTCATTCAAAGACTTGCACCTTTACATTGTCATATAAAGACAATAGCAGCTGCACTGGAAATAGTAAAAAAACTGGAAAAAACCCAAATGTCCATCAACAGGCAAATAGATAAATAAAGCATGGTACATCCATACAGTGGAATACTGCTCAGCAATGAAAAGGACAAACTATTGATACATGAAAACACACAGAGGAATCTCAAGATAGTTACGATGAGTAAGATAAAAGCACCCCCCCATCAAAAAGAGTAAATATGATTCCACTTATACACAACTCTAGAAATGCAGATTCATCTATGGTCTCACAAAGCAGCTGTGGGGGACTGCAGGGAGAGGGGCCAGGATGAGGGAAGATGAAGCAACAGGGACACTGCAAGGATGGCGGGTGTGCTCACGACACCACTGCAAAGGTATCTCAGGGGCGTGGACGCAGGGCAATGCGTACTAAATTGTAACTTCAAATATATGCTGATTAGTCTATGTTAATTATACCTTCAAAAGCTGTTAAAAGAACAAAGTAATTTTACTCTTAGGACGCAATTTCCCCCCCCATGCCCTACCTCGTCCTTAGAGAACGCAATGACGTAGGAGAGCTTCTTGCCCCAGCCGACCTCGTAGAGCAGGGGCTTGTCACAGACGTCCTCACATGCGTCGCAGTGCAGCCAGCGCTGCTGAGACGGCGAGTACACCTCCGTCCAGACATGGTCTACACACGTGACGGGCGGCGAGAGGCAGCGGGGCAGGAAACAAAAGCTCAGTGGATAAAACCAGAAGGATCTTCGGTAACTGGACACACCCAAGAGGAGAACCACACAGCATCAAGCAACTCTGAACTTAATGAGTGAGCCTGACCATTCTGTGGCATACAAGACTCTAGAATGGTTGTTCTAATTTCTCCCTGGAATCTTGGGAAATGTCTTGGAAACTCTCAGTAGAGTCAGCGTTAGGTTTGGTTAGAAATAATGTGAGCTATAACTCTAAAAGGGGCAAACAAGCTAAACGACAGCATCAAAAACATGGAGCTGAGACTTCCCTGGTGGATCAGTGGTTAGGACTCCGTGCTCCCACTGCAGGGGGCATGGGTTCAATCCCTGGTCAGGGGACTAGGGTCCTGCATTCTGGGTGGTACAGCCAATAAATAAATATTAACAAATCATCAATAAAATTTCCACTAAGCAACAATACATCATCCTTTAAAAAAAAGTATACATAGCAATCGAGCAGCCCATGGTACTTGGAAATTATGGTGCCCATGAGTATTAAAATGTAAAACTTAAAAAATTAAAATAGCAAAAAACAAAAACCATGGGGCTAATACACACAGTTTGCTAATGTGAAGGAGTTAACTCCACTTTGGAACTGTAGACCAGCAGAGATCTAACAGTGGATGTCTGGTTATTCATGGTCTCTATTTGATTGTGAGGGAAAAAAAAACAAGTAACTATTGAGTGAAGCTTTCATTTTACCCTAAGAAAACAACAGAAACAAACAAGTGAAAAAAATCTATATACTGAGTTAAAATTACTAAATCTTTTATACTAATCTCTACAAAAATAAAGAATTTCTACATAACATTATCACACATGTTCCTATCCAAGAGAAACAGCATGACTAAAAAACGGCATGGTATCCTCCAAATTGTTAAAGAATATTTATGATGCAAAGTACTAGCCATAAAAGAAAAAAAAGACCCTGTGCTCCCCATAAAAAAACCTGTTATCTTACAGAAGGCAAAAGGAGCATCAGACTGACAAGGCAGGGGAGTGTGCACCCCAGCCTCAGCGCCCCCCAACGCCCCGCACCTGTGTAATCCCAGACGTAGCGGGCTTCAAAGCCCAGGGCACGGCAGCACAGCGTGAAGCAGTTGGCCCACTCCCCGCACCGCCCACTTCTCGTCTCCAGAAGCTTCTCGGGATTAGTATACCTGGTTCAAAGTAGCAACAGCAAAAAGTGCCGATTCATTATCAAAACCAAGAACTCTAAAGAATTCACACTGAAAGAAAGTGTTCGTTAGTCCCTCAGTCACGGCCAACTCTCTGCAACCCCATGGACTGTAGCCCACCAGGCTCCCCGGTCCATGGGATTCTCCTGGCAAGAATACTGGAGTGGGTAGCCATTTCCTCCTCCAGGGGATTTTCCATACCCAGGAACTGAACTGGAGTCTCCTGAATTGCTGGCAGATTCTTTACTGTCTGAATCACCAGGGAAGCCACCTTTGTGCTAAACAGTAATATTTCTTAACTTCATATTCTTAAAGAATGTGTGAGGCACTGTGCTAGAATCCTGGGTGAAAATGACTAAACACTGGTACATAGCCTTCAAGAGCTTATGGTCCTGAGAGAGAAAAGGACAGAACACAGATAATTTTAGTACATGGCAGGACATGACACAAGCTACACAACAGGTCAGAATCGGTGTAACAGGATAGGGTTCAGGCAGGAGAGACTGCATCTGAACTGGGCCTTGCAGGACAGGCAGAGATTCTCTGCGAAATCTGCTTTAAGCATGAGTGTTAGCTTAACAGGTGGTATAACTATCTCACTGTACTTAAACAAACTGCTCAATAAAGATTTGAAAGCTTAGCTGAACTCAATTTTATTAATACTTAAAACACTATTTTTCTTTCTAACGATCATTTGGATTACACTTTTATTCTTCCAATTCACTTGAAGGTGCTTGCTAATTTGGAAGTGGTTTTTTGAAATGTATTTGCCACATTCTTTAAAAGGTTACTCCAGGGACTTCCCTGATGGTTCAGTGGTCAGGGTGGGGTGCTTTCACGGCTGGGGACCAAGTTTAATCTTTGGTCAGGGAACTAAGACCTTGCAAGCTGCACAGTGAAACAAAAAAAGTTACTCCAGTTCTAAAATTACCATCAAGCTAAAGAACATCAAATTTTGCATATTATGTTTCAGAAGGAATTTGGGGCTAATAAAGTTACACAGGGAAAGCGCCCAGCTGAGCAGAAATGTTGGCCATGAGCTCGGGTGGGAAGGACACAGCTTCACAAGTGCACTGGCTCAGCAGTGACGAGCTTGTCTTCAATCAAACAGATGCTCTGGCTTGCGCTAAGTGAAATGAATTTATAATTTAGGTAATGTAGTTACTGAAACAAGTGGTCTCTTTACATGAGGAAGTAAGAGCAGCAAATCAGGGTGTCCTGTGCCTCCACGCCTCAACACCGCATGTGTTAAGGTGAAAGGCCACAGGCTCTAATGAGTAGTGTCCATCCTCCCAACCCTACACAGAGAACAGCCAAGATGAGCGCACGATTCGACGGGAAAAGGACAACAAGGTACAAATACAATACCTTTGTATCCCCTAGCCTCTGCCCCCGCCCCATGCACTGTCAGTCCATACCCACAGCCTAGAGTTTATGAGGACAATTTACCTATAATCATACATATTTTTATCTTCAGATCTTTGCAAGTACCTGTGCACATATATGCTGAATGAAGAAACAACTGTTAATTATAGATAATTATTGGATACTGGATTCTGTTTATCTTGGACTCTGTATATCACAGGACTGATTCTCCCTTAGGATAGAACAGAGTACTGAGGCCCCTAAAATCAGGTATTTCAAAAACTTGCTTAAAAAAAAGAAAAACTTGCTATCTTTTCCCACCTGATGACACAACCAAATTTTACAAGTATTGTCAATTAAGAATATCTAATAAGAGACTTGTATATTAAAGGATGGGAAAAGTTAACAGAAAAGTTCCAATTCCTTTAGTTTAAAACTAAGAGATATGAGGGTAGGTTAGGATGGCAGGGGAGGCACCAAACTTCTTTATTAAAAATAAAATATGATGCGAAACAACAGCACTGTGTACAGACACCACAGTGCATCATGCCCCCAGGACTACTTTATTTCTGGACGTTATACTTGGTTCCCTTCATGCCCTTCCCACCAGGCAACCACCAATCTTTTTTCTCTGTATCTATTAGTTTTGCTTTGTGTGTCTATTTGCTCTGGTCTTAGAGTCCACACACAGGTGAAATCATATAGTACATGTTTTTCTCTGTGTGACTTATTTCCTTGGCATAGCACCCACAAGGTCATCATACTGTTGCAAATGGCAAGATTTTACTTTTTTCTTATGATTGAGTAGTATTGCATTGTGTATATATAACACCACATCTTCTTTAGCCATTCACCCACCCACTGCTAAAAATCTTAAAAGATCTCATAACAAAGAAAAATTTTAACTGTATAACAACCAAAAGCAATTAGATTTGCTTTGATTATTTTACAATGTATACAGATATCAAATCGTTATGCTGTACACCTGAAAACAATGTAATGTTGTATGCCGAGCATGCTTCAATGAATAATATCACGACAATAAACATAAAAAAGGAAAAATAAAATTAGTTTCAAAAAATTATATAAAACATGACAGTCTTTAACTATACTTTCACCTTCCATATTACCAGCTGATGATTTAAGTGCAGCACTGTATTTACCATCACAAGGATTAGTTTTATTCTAATCTTTTAGCATTATTTTTTATGTGCTATCAGTATTATTATTAATGATATCAGAAAGTTAAAATTTATGTATTAAAAGAAGAAAAACTCACAATTTATAGCATTAAATTGCTAGGACAACACTCAAGAGTCAACAAGCTCTTCCTATAAAAAGCAAGACAGCAAATGTTCTAGACTGTGCAGGCCACACGGTCTCTGCGGCCAGTATTAACTCTGCCGCTGTAGCATGAAAGTTACACCCCGTGACAACAAAGCAGCACGACGTGCTCCAGTAAACCTTCATTCGCGAACCAGGGTGTGCGCTGGACTGAGCCTGCCGGCCGCAGCTGGCCGAGCCCTGTTCTGGAAGAATATACCTCTAACGACAAAAGTGGAGGTTAGAAGTCGGTTAATAAAATGCTCTCCACCCATCCGCGAGGGCCGCTCCGCCGTCGCCGCCGGCGGACGCTCACCGTGGGAATCGGCTGCTGAGCTGGCAGGCGTCACAGTAGTGGTCCTCTACTCTGCTGGCACCCCACTTCAGCTCATCATCGCTGGGGAGTAATGACTCGCCTCTGGACTTAGTCTGGCCACCACACTTACTGCACACAACGTCGTTCACCCAGTGAAAAAATTCTCCCTTGAACCAGTGTAAAAGCTCCAGCAAAAGAAAATCCTCTTCACTTACATTAGTACCTGAAAAGTTAGAACAGAACCGAGTTAAGACCTAAAGCAGAAAAAAACGAAAAACACCCACATACATTTTGTTCTCAAATATGAAGCTGAAATAAATGAAAACAGAAGACTATCTAAAAGGTCTTCACGAGAGGATGCAGATAGAGCTGTCAGTGAGGCAGGCACACAATGGCACAGTCCACGGCACACTCACAGCCATCGGGCTTGAGTACTGCGTCCTCTGACCGACACCATACTCAGCACGGCCAGCTCTCAGGGATCGTCACACACGTGCAAAGTAAGAAAGTAAGTCTGACTTTGGGGACACAATTTTTCCCAGAAGCCCACTCTGTTCCCCTGTTGCCTAGCAAAGTAATAAAGCTTTCCTTTCCTACTTTACCACCCCCCCAAAACAGAAGTCTGATTTTGAAAAACATTTTTAAATGACTGCATTAAACCTGTTATCAGACATAAACACAAGTAAATATGAAACAATCACAAAATTACAGGCAGAAATCACAGAATTCTGAACGTATTAAAAATCATCCTATTAGCTTTTCTACTATTAGTGCTTCAATTGTACAATGTAATTCATCTGAGAACACTTACCACAAAACACATAAAAACACAACCATGTTTACAATATTTATAACAACCCTTGCAAGTAAACATGATATATCAGATTATATCCACTGTATCAAATAAAAGGGTCTCTAACCACATTCAAGGCAGTGTTATCTCTGGGAAGAAGAAAAGGAGACAGGAAAAGAATCTGGGAGACATGGATGGGTCTCTCATTCCTGTCTTTAATGTTTTATTATTAAATAGTTAAAAAACACATATATGAAGGAAATATACAGCATAATATTAAGATCTAATAAAATCTGATGCTGGGCACAGGTATTGAATCTATTATACTCCATTTTTATATTTATATTTTATATATCTCAAAATTATTTTAAAAAATTAAGAAAAAACTACAGAGATTAATTAATTAAAAAGCCAAAATATATTATGTTCTTGAGTAGGAAAACAATATTCTCAAGTTGTTAATTCTCTACAAATCAACCTGTGCTTTAATGAAATCCCAAGTGACACTAGAAAATAATTTTTCATAAAATTTGACAGGCTAACTGCAAGAAACTCACATGAAAGAAGAAATGCACAAAACAGTCAACTTTTAAGATAAATCTGTCTATAGTACTTCAAGGCACATTAAAAAACTCTAAATAAAATATTGTGATATTGGTAAAGAACAGACACATGAATGAAATAAAAGAAAGAGTCCTGAAAGACAGATTTCTAAGTGATGCACAGTATTTAATAAAGTTAGCCTTTAAAGCAATTCTAAGAGGAGAGACTGTTCGACAAATCGTATTGGGACAAGCAGCTGTCCAGATACCAGATCCCTCCTCCATTCCTTCTAACACATATATATAAACACCATACAGCGGGAATATTATAAAAGTAGAAGTTTATGTTTACATCTTTGGGGGAGAGAACAAAACACCAACTGTAAAAATAATTTTCTCATTAAAATTTATAACTTTTGAATTTCAAAAGGTACAGTAAATGAAATTAAAGAATACTGAGAGCAAAATGTAACGCATCTAACAAAGAAAAGTATCCAGAATATATAAAGAATGTCTGTAAATCAGTAAGAATATTCATAAAATCATTAGAAAAATTAGCAAAGTCCATAAGAAAGTTCAATAATTTCATTAAGCGCAAACAAACACTCCCAGACACTTCTGTTACAAGTTGTAAGACAGTCTGTTTGCCAGGGACCCCCTGTGGAACAGAAGCATCACATGCCCGTGATACTTTTACATCCATCCCAGGGAAACATTCCTTCAGGTAGGCAGGCCTACTGTACAAGGATTTTCCCTGCAGAAGCCCTCAGAATAGAGGAAAACCCCTCTCAATGTCCGTCAGTGGAGCACTGGGACACAGCGTAAGTGACAATGCATGCACGCTGCAGAGAACTAGGGGAAGGGCAGCTGACCTCCAAGCCATGTTAGGAAAACACCATGGAGCTGAATACATAAGAGATGTCCCGCTTTATGTAAACTCTGCAACATAAGCTGTTTATTCCTATATATAACTACTTATGGATGTAAATAAACAGAAAAAGATATGAAAAGAAACACATGATAACCGCTCTTAAGTGTGGAGTAAGAGGGTAGACTGATTGGAAGAAGAGCTTAGCCTTTCCTGTACAACATGAAAACTTCTCAACAGAGAGATATTGGTGAATGTTCATTTCTAAAAATGAACTTTTGGAAAAACAGCACTGCCATTCTGCCCCTTTGAGTCCCTACAGCAAAGTGATCTTTTCAAAAACACAAGGCAGCTCATGTCATTTGAGACTCTCCAGTGATTTTCCATCTCATTCAGAATACAACCCAAAGTCTCTTATTTTTGCAGCTGGCCCATGCGGAGGCTGAAAATGGCCCCTCAAAGACATATACATTCTAACCCCTGAGCCTGTGAATGTCACCATGAAGGGGAAAAAAAAAAAAAAAAGCAAGCCTCTGTAGATATGAAGTTAAGGACTCTGAAGCAAGGAGATTCCCCAGGTTACTAAATATGAACCCTCAATGCATCACATGTATCCTTTCAAGAGGGAAGCAGTGGGAGACTTTAAAGAGGAGGAGGATTTGAAGATGTTGGTCTTTGAGACGGGAGTGATGCAGCCACAAGCCAAAGACTGCAGGCGGCCACCAGAGGCTGGCAGAGGCAGGCAAGAGTCTCCCTAGGGCCTCCAGGGAGCATGGCCCTGCCAACATCCTGATTTTGGCCCAGAGATGTGGATGATGGGCTTCTGGTTTCCACAACTGGGAGACAGTACACTTCTGTTGTATTAAGGACTAAGTTTGTGATAACTTGCGCCAGCAGCCACAGGAGGAAGCTAACAGATCCTCTTCGTCTCCCTGACCGCGTCTGGCCGTGCTCCTGCTGCTGCAGCCACATCTCCCGTCTGTAGCCCCTGAGCCCACCGAGCTCACGCCCACTCAGGGGGCCGTGCAGCCGGCAGGGCCTCCAGCAGAAGGGGAATCGCTGCTTCAGCGGACGCTTTCCTGACGACCCTCCCCCAAGAGCAGCCTGCGCGCTCTCTCCCCTGTCCTCCTGGCCCGTCTCCCCACCTGCCCAAGCTGAGCATGTGTCCCTGGCTTCCTCATCCTCGATAGCAGGGACTCTGTTTGCCACTGTCTCTTAAGGAGGAGGATTTGAAGATGTTGGTCTTTGAGACGGGAGTGATGCAGCCACAAGCCAAAGACTGCAGGCGGCCACCAGAGGCTGGCAGAGGCAGGGAAGAGTCTCCCTAGGGCCTCCAGGGAGCGTGGCCCTGCCAACATCCTGATTTTGGCCCAGAGATGTGGATGATGGGCTTCCGGTTTCCACAACTGGGAGACAGTACACTTCTGTTGTATTAAGGACCAAGTTTGTGATAACTTGCGCCAGCAGCCACAGGAGGAAGCTAACAGATCCTCTTCGTCTCCCTGACCACGTCTGGCCGTGCTCCTGCTGCTGCAGCCACATCTCCCGTCTGTAGCCCCTGAGCCCACCAAGCTCACGCCCACTCAGGGGGCCGTGCAGCCGGCAGGGCCTCCAGCAGAAGGAATCGCTGCTTCAGCAGACGCTTTCCTGACGACCCTCCCCCAAGAACAGCCTGCGCGCTCTCTCCCCCGTCCTCCTGGCCCGTCTCCCCACCTGCCCAAGCTGAGCATGTGTCCCTGGCTTCCTCATCCTCGATAGCAGGGACTCTGTTTGCCACTGTCTCTTCAGCAGCTGAGCTTGCTACACAGTAGGTGCTCTGTGAATATTGGAACAAACGACAGAAACTGAGTGAACTGACAAGCCTCATGGTATCACTGAGAGTCATTACTGCTCAGCAAAGTCACAGTCAGGATGGGAGGAGGGACGGAACACAGCACACTTTTGCTTCCGATTCCTCCCGGGATATGGTGCGGCTTCCCAGGTAGCAGCATGCACATCACACAGAGAGGGTCAGGGCTCCCTGGTTATGTAAGACCTTAACTATGACTCAGAGAAGTCCAAGTGGAGTCCTGTCTGTGCAGGTTAAGAGCTCAGACAGGTCAGAACAGCAACCATCTGATAGAACTTTGGTAACAATGGAAATAATTCATACCTACACTATCCAATAGGGTCGCTACTAATGATGACTTCTGAGTATTTGAAATGTACTGAATGCAACTGAAGAACTCAATTTTTAATGTCATTTAATATAAATTAATGTAAGTGTAAATACCCTCCAATGCTACCTTTCTTTCTAGAACCTTCACAATCCTCCCCTTCTCCCCGCTGCCTTGTCTTTTCAACCTGGGTGATCTCACTCACTTGCATGGCTTCACCTGTCATGGTGAAGTATAGGTCAAGGTGTGACTTCCAAAACAGCTCCAGGCCTCCATTTTCACGTGGGGGCTCAGATGACATCCAGCAGGCCCTGAACGCAGACCCCTCATCTTCAAAGCCTGCCCATACTGACTGCAGTTCAGAACGAGGCAGTCCTCTTGCACATTTTCCTTCCATATCCCTGACGCCACGTCTGACCCACTGCAAACACCCCAGCAACACACGCCCATGGCGTCCCTCTCAGTCGCAGCCCCTGCGTGCCTTCTTGCTTCTTGGGAAACTCTATCACTGCTGAGCTTGAGCTCTTCTCGCCGTGTGCTCTCTTGATTCTTTTCATCTTACAAGTGACTGCTGGACTGATTTTCCTGAAGGGCACCCTGTCTTCCCCTTGCTGATGCTTCAGTGCCTAACCCTCTGACTTAAGTCATCAAGAACATCTGACTTTCCTGAGAAGTCGTCTTATTTCTTCCTGCCTAGTGAACAGGTTATTTAACACTTCTGCTATAAGTTCAATCATACGAACACCACAGCATTAGCCTTCTAAGATGCGTTCATCCTTCAAATTTCCTTGGTCCTTATTCTCTACTTCAAAACCTCATTACAAGTCCTTTGTTTCATTTTACCTCTAACTCTTTTTTGAAAGGTTAAAAATATAAACTCAGTGTGCTCTGCTCTGCCTGAAACTGTGTCAAACAAAACATGGTCTTGGCCTGCCTCATGTGTCTCCGCCGACCTGACACAAGCAGACGGCACCGTGTGCCCTTCCCCATGATGCCTGCTGCTGAGGCCCCACGCACACTGCTCCCTGCACCTGCAGGAAAGTCCCTCATCCCTGCCTTCACGTGTCCTCTGGCATCTCAGGCTGTAAATCCAACTTAAAAAAACTTAAAAAAACAAAAGGCCAGTTTCTTCTGATTTTCACAATACCAATGTACACTACCTGCTGCATTCCTTCTGCCCTACTCATGTTAAAGCTCTAGAGTTCCCTGACTCTAGGCCCCTCCGGCCTTCCTGTCTCACTGTGGGGATGCCCCAGGCTCCTGCACACAAGCCCCTACAACACTGAGACCGAGCCCTAAGTCTGTAGGATGCTCCTCCCCTACACCTCGCCATCCACAGGACCCCAGTGGATACAGCAACAGGGCACGATTACATGAGGCCATCTGCAGGAGGGAGATGAGCTCAGGAGTCCTCCTCAAGGAGGCTCGGAGACCACAGAGGGGCCAGGAACACCAGAGGAGCCTGAAGGCCCCAGCACTCATACCAAGCATTAGACAGTGTGGTTAAACGTGCCCAGTTCAGAGCTGAGGAGTCACGTTAAGCCTTCCACAAAAGGCCTCTTCACTTCAATTCCCATTACCCAACACATTATATTCAACTTTTAACAAAAAATTACAAAGCAGGCTAAAATACAAGAACAAATGCACAATGTAAGCAGAGAGATGGGAAGAAATCAAAAACTCTGTTACAGAGATAATGCCTTTCATCAGCTCATCAGCAGACTGGACACAGCCAAGGAAAGCATCACTGAGCCTGAAGACAGGTCACCAGAAACTGAAAGTCAAAGAGAAAGAGAATGAAAACAAAGGAACAAACCACCCAGAACATGCAATTATGGTGGGGGGGGGGGGTGATTTTCATAATGGCCTAGCACATCAAACAAAGGTGGAAACAGCTGATAAATAAAGAGTATAACAGGACACCCTATTTTGGAGTATCAGAAGGAAAACAGACAGAAAGGAGCAGAAGAGACATTTGAAGTAACAACAGCCGAGAATCTTCCAAAATTAATGAGCCACCAAAACACAGAACTGGGACGCTCAGAAAACACCAAGTAGGATAAATACCAAAAAAACAATATCCAGGTCCGTCATACTCAAACTGAAGAAAATGAACAGGGAGAGAATCCTGCATGAAGCTGGGGTGAGGTTGGAGACGGTCCTAAGTACAGCAACAGAAATTACAGCAGACTTCTCATCATACACAAGCAGGCAACAGCAAAGAGAATCAAGTGTCACTGACAGAAAGGAAAAAACCCCACCAACCTAGAATTCTACATCCCAGTGATATTAACCTTCAACAGTGAAGGAGAAATAAAGACTTTCCCAGGTAGAGAAAAACTGAGGGGCTTTTCCTCCAGAATACCTGCCCTGAAGGAAACAGTAGAAGAGGTTGTTCTTCAGAAAGAAGAAAACTCAGGCCTGCATACTGGAAGAGTACCCAAAGAATGAATGAATGAAGCTAACATAAGACCTGTCATTTTTCTCACTCTTAGTCTACTGGGTGACTAGTGTCTAGTTCAGTGAAATGAAGGACGGTAGAGTCTCAAGGGATGGGGAGGAAGAATTGAGACATTCTGCTAAAACTTACCTGCACTATACAGGAAGCTGTATAACGCGTGTGGAGGTAAGGGAGAGATGAGTTAGAAACTCAGAATTAACATACACACACCACTAGATATAAAATAAACAGAGACCCACTGTACAGCACACAGAACTCTACTAAGTACTCTGTAATAATGTAAATAGGAAAACAATCTAAAAGAGTGGACATACTGCATTACACACAACTGAACCCCCTTGCTGGATACCTGAAAGTAACACAACATTATAAATCAACTCTACTTCAATGTAAAATAACAGTTTTTTAAACTGGAAAAACAAAAATGTTTATTGCATACTAGATCAACCACCAAAAGAATATTACACAACTCCCCCAGAAAATATAGTATTAGGAAATTAAGTTCACAGAAAAAAACAACTGTATGCAAATTCAAAGTAAAAATGCTGAAGTTGGAAAAATTTAACAATTAAAATCCTAAGACTATTAATGAAAACAACAAAGTATTGGTTGATGAATGTGGCAGGCACTGTTCTGAGCCATTCACATGCACTATTCTAGTTATTTCTGAGAATTATCATTCCTATTATCAAATGAAGAAACTGTAGCAGGGAGATGAAATTCCTTGCTCAGTGATTCAAGGTGAGAGGTGGAGCTGAATCCATACCCAGGTAGTCGGCTTGTACATGCATATGCTATATCAGTAACTGACAGTTAAAGGGAGTCAGTGGTCAAATCACATGAATTCATTCTGAATAAGCTTTTTCTCAGTTTCACATCAAAATTCACTAATAATGCCATCACATATTTCATGGACTGAAGTTCTGGTGATATTATATTAAAAAAAAAAATCACATGCCAATGATTAAACTAAAAATACATTATTTGAGTTAAAAAATTTTAACAGATGTGTGCACGAGGTATATGCAACAAAAAATTATACTACTGTTGTACTTCTTAAAAATCCAAATAGAACTGGGTTACATATTTACAATGTATACAGTAAAGGGCACCATTTCAGCATTTTTGTTGATTTAGTAATGATGCATATTTAGCAATGAATGGTTCTGTAAAGCCATTACCTTTATCCAATTTTCTGGCTCTAGATAACTTTTCTTGCGATCTCCTTTTCAGTTCTTGGACTGGAATACAAGCCAGTGCTTTCTCCTGGAGAGCAAGGTTCTCATAGACCAGTACATGCTGAATGTTGGACCGAAGAACTTTTAGAATGACTGAATTGTCAGCAACCTAATAGAAAGAAAACAATGAATTTAGCTTTTCTTCGTATGCTATAAAAATAATATAATAAAAAATACTGGTTCTATGAGTTCATAGATAAAGGAATATACGGATTCACTGAAATATAGTAATTATAATGAAAACGTTTACAAAATTAGTACTAGGAGATAGTCACATCTGTATCACAGTCTAAGATAAGTCTATATTTTCATCTGAATAGATGTTACTGAGGATATATTTAAACAGGGATATGCTGAACTCTTGAGCACAGCTTGGATCAAGACAGCACTCTGAGCAGTGCTTCTGACAGCTCTTTCCACTTCAAGTCCTGATAAATGTCTTTTTTTTTTCTTTATACAGCATTAGCTAAGGAGGACTGATCTCAAGGGATCAGAAATTTTGAGAAATTCCTGAAAGAAGGCAGGTACAAACAGACAAAAGGAACAAACAATGGCAATACGCCATCTAGAGAAAGTGGTATATATAATCCTGAGGCGGGATGGGCGGGAGGCTTCACAGAGCAGGAAGGGGTCTTGGACTAAGTGTTAAGCAGGCCGTCAGGCTCTGCCGCAGGAACAGCTGGACACTGTGGTCACTCCTTCTCCACAAAAAGGCGTGTCTCTGAGCAGCGAGGGCGGACGTCTAGATTTACAGAAGGAAAGCGGCGTCCCAGCACAGAAGCGTGCTGGTCTGGCACAGCCCACCTGGTGGCATGTCCCGCCCTCCCCCGTAGTCGTCAGAACCAGACGCGGCGCTCGCCAACAGGCTGGCAGGAGCTCTCAGGCCCCTGAGAGCCCACGGCCACCAGTGCCGCTGAGACAGGGCACCGGCGTCCACGGCAGAAGCAGCCCTGCAAGGGCAGCAAACGCAGAAGAGACCCAGAGAGCCCGCCTTCAGAAGCGCAGGAGCACACTCGAGCCACAGGAAGACGCCCACAGATCGTGGGAACTAAAAACTCAAACACTGACTGAGGAAGAAAACACAGATGCTGTGTCAAACAGCAAAACAAACACAGGTAAGTGATCGATCAATTACAAGACCGAGACGAGGCGTTTTCTGACAGTATGGTACAAAGGGACAAAGACACTAAGGATGAACTCAGAACTTCCCAAATCCAGCTAACGGGAAATATCTAGAAACGCGAGTAGAAAAAAATGGAAGAGAAAACACTTATCAAAGAAATAACGGGAAATTTCTGAGGGTTAAAGAAAGAGCCAGTGTGAACGGGAGAAAAAAAAAACCAAACAAAGACTAATAGTGACATTTTATAACAACAGTAAAGGTAAAAACAAAATATTAAAAGCCTTCAATGCTATCAGACATCTCACTGGAAACAGTGAAGCAAAATCTCTGAAATACTGAGGCAATATGAGAACACACAATGCATACCCAGGTAAACTAATTACAAAGAGCAAAACAACACATTTTCTGATCTGTAACAATGCAGAAAATACATCACTCCCAAATCCTATTTTAAAAAATTATTACAAAAGTTACTGTCTCCCCAAAACATAATAGAACCAAAGTAAATAAATAGAACACCATAGAGTAGAACCCAAGATAAAAGAAACAGAAGCGAGTTAAATAAAAACTAAAAAACTGGTAAAACTTAAGTTCTGTTGTTATAAATAATTAAAAAGCAAAATCACATAATAAAGGTGGCAGGGACAGGAGCAGATGCTAGAAAAATATAAAATAAATATTTGCATTAAAAATTTTAAGACAATAATTAGAAGACTAAAAGAGGATATTTAACTTTCTAACTTTTGGAGGGAAAATAATGGAATAAAACTTGATCCATTTAAACAATAGAAAGAAATAGAAGAAAAAAAACAAGAAGGACATAACACAAAATGTCTGAAAGAAGTTCAAACATATTAGAATTATCATAAATACGAATGGATTAAATGTGTATAGAAAAAGGCAGAAATAGACTAATTAAAAAAACACCAAATACTGACTATAATGTCAGTATACGAACGCTGGGCATGTGTGCACAAAACAGACAATCACTCTATGGTCTAAGGGGGAAAGACACTGAAGAAATAATGACAGAATCTTCACATTAAGTCAACAAATTTTGTGTGTTTGTGTGTAAATGATTAGATGATAGAAAAATAATGGAGGCCAAGCCAGACAAGGGCATTATCCTAACAGGATAACAAGCCTATGGACATAGAAACGAATATTGCTACAACAATGCCAACTTACTCAAATATTTAAGGAATCTTTATGATCCGTTAGATACAGGGGATATAACAGCTAGTTTATTCATATTCAGGGGAAGAGCTATAAAGCAAACATACAGGACAGTGTAACTGCCTGGCAGGGGCTCTAATGAGACTTCCCTGGAGAAGCGATCCTGTAATCAAATATGAAGGATGAGAAGCAGCTGGTGACCAGGGAAGGGAGAAGACCATTCCTGTGAAGAGGGAATAACGTGTAGGTAGGTGGCTAGGGAGCATGCAAAGGGGGGATCAGACAGAAAGAAAGTCAGGGTATCTGGAGCGCAGAGCCCCAAGCAGGAAGCTGAGCGGGGCGACAGCCAGGTCTTCCCTGTCTCTTCCGGCCGTACCGAGAGCTACCCAAGACCTACGGAGCGAAGGAGTAAAAAGGCAGCTTCACGTTCTCCGAGCTTCCAGCTGAGGGGGGAGAAAGCAGGCCTCAGGAGACCCACAGGGGAACCACTGCTGAGCTCTGAGGGAGCAGAGGCTTGAACCAGGAGGGGACAGAGGTGGTGGAAAAGTGAACGGATTCACAATCACAGAGGAAGTAGAATCAACAGGTCCCACTGACTGAACCGTGCAGTCAAGGGGAATGACCCACAGATTTTCAGTGAGAGCAACTGGGTCAATGGTCGAATCACTTACAAGAGGAGAAAAAACCAGGAAATGGTCAGTTGCACTTACAGCTACGAATGGTCAGGTAAAAATGAACCCAAAAAGTCCACTAAATTTAGGGGCATGGAGATCAGCGATGATCTCAGTAGTAAGTTCTGCAACAGTGTTAATAAGGAAAACAAAGTGTAGGAGACCCAGTGGTTTAAGTGCTGTCCCAACCTGGGCCAGGAGCTGTACAAAGTGGTCTGCTGGGATACAGACAGAAAAGATTACAACTGTTATTTATATCATCTGTGCCCCAAAGTACAACCAAGTCATTATACCACTGAGCATGTGGCTCAGTGGCTGCCCCTCCGCAACTACAGAAGCCGCCCCAGGGGAACAAGGCCGCACGGAGTGGGGGGACCCAGTGGCACACCCACTCCTCCTTCTGCAAGCTTCTGCGGGCCACATGTGCCCGGTTCAACAGCTTTGCAGGTTATATTATGTAGCTTTTACTAAACTGACCCTCAACCTCACTTAAAAAAGATTTCAAAGACCTCTAAGCAATAAGGCTAATACTTACGATGTAAGAACGTGTGGAGTGTGTAAAAGAAGAAATGGTAGGGCTAATGCGTCTTTTTTTTTCAGTATGAGCCCCTTCAACAGCCAAATTTTAATGTGAAAAAAGAACACAATCTGCTGAGATCTGATAAAGTGAGCCTCCCAAATTCAAAATTATCAAAAGAGCATTTAAAACATAGACTTAGGTCTACATTCACTGAATGATAGTGCTAAATCATTTTTTTAAATTAAAAATATTACTTATCTCCTATCTCCTCTTGTTGTTGCTCAGCTGCTAAGCTGTGTCCAGCCCTGAGACCCCACGGACTGCAGCCCGCCAGGCTCCTGCCCTCTGCCATGGCCCAGAGTTTGCTCAGATTCCCGCCCGTTGAGCCTGCGGTGCTATCTAACCCTCCCATCCTCGCCGCCTCTGTACACCACTTTACCGTGTGCCCAGCACAGCGGCACGCTAATGTAAGTATACAATTCATAAACAAATAAATATATATTAAGAGGACACGCTCAGAAATATTTTGCTGATGGGGCACATCAAGTGTGGAAACCTGCTAGACAAAACTATGAGGAGTAAGGACAGGGGTGGATACTGGGGACTCCCCGTGAAACTTGCAGTGAAGAGGAAACGAGAAATAAAAGAAGGCAGGATCTAGCGATATTTGTGTGTTGACTTGTGTCTAAGAGCTTACAGGAAATGTTTGTAACCACTGACCTGTTTGTGAAGAAGGCAGATTTCCAAGTTCCCTCTCTCCTGGTTCAGCCAGTCTGGGGTGTGCCCAGGAATCTGCAAACCCAGGCTATTCTAACACCAGTGGTCCAAACTTAGATGAAAACTGGTCTAAAACAAGGTTTCAAAACCACTGAGAAGAATCTCCAAGAAAAGGGGCAGGTCACGACTACACAGCCCACCTGTGACCCCACAGAGAGCAGAGAGGAAAACAGGCACAGAGGAGGGGCTGGCCTTCAGCAGCGGCAGACGCACTCACTCCATCAAAGACAGCAGAAGCGCTGGGGCGGACCTGGGGCGGGAAACCCAGGGCACTCACAGCAGGAAAGAGTGCGTCTCACCAGAACTGATCCAGAGCAAACGGAACATGCCCATTTTTATTTTATTTATTTTTCATTGGAGAATAATTGCTTTCCATTTCCATTTAAAAGAATTCCTATAAAGATGAGACCTTTATGGTTGTATTATTTTTCTTTTTCACAACCAGAGTTTCATTTGCTGGGAAGGTAAGAACTCAGCCAAAGAATTTTTATTTTCAATTTAGTATTTTTTGCTCTGGAAATTACCCCCTTCACTGTGGTATTTAATGGCACGCAAACGATCTTGAACAATAAAGGTTATTTTCTTGCCTTATTTCTTTGGCACAATGCCAAAAAAACTAAGTCATAAAAATAGAAGTTTGCTGATGGCAATTATAGCAGCTGGGTAACCATGTACATAAGGCAACAGTTAACTGCTTAACGATTAAAGTTATTTGGAGTACAAATGGGAGTTTAAAATATGAAATCTGTCTGTTTTAGATTAAAAAGATTTTTTTTCCTTCACTAATCACACTTGGATTTCAATTATTTGGTTTCTGATGAGAGACTTTTAAGACTCTATAA